TTCTAGAACGAGGTCCACTATCACCATCTGAGGGGCCATGTGCAAAGGCCATGCTTTAACGGAGGCCTGGGTGACCTCCGACTGCATTGGCATTCGTGCCTCGAGTTGTTGCAGTTCCCCTCGCTTTGAGCCATCGCTGCTCAGCAAGCTGGTACTGGTCTGATCGCGACCGTTGCGCTATGCTTCCCTCACATCTCACAACTTGTCCATCACCCTCTCCTAGGAGTCAGAAGCTTCTGAGGATGCTTCATTGCACGATTCTTCCGGCCTGCTTATCGTGCCGCCAACAAGCCTCACGACAGCTTTGGCCAGGGAGAGTAGAGACTCCATCCCCTGGTGGTCTAGCTGGGCAGGGACTTTCTCGGGGCCATACAGTAACATCTGTTTGCCTCTCTGGAGTCCCCCCTCTGCTAGTTGTTATTTCTGTCTGAGCACACAACCTTTGAACAGAAACTGGCTCTCAACTGGCCCCAGCCTCCTAAATAGCATCTGTGATTCATTGTCGCCTGGCGCCCGTTCAAGTTCAGTGATTTCATCACACTCACATGTTGAGCAGAAATGGTCCTGAAGCTCAGTGATCTTCACATGTAGTGTTGAGCAGTGCTCCTGTCTTTTGTGCGCCTGTCGCTTGCACTTACTGTGCCAGGTCAGGAGTGGAGCAGGTCTTAATAGTTGCCCCTCTTTGGCCCAACCAGACCTTGCTCCCCTCGACAGCCTTCCTGACTTCCCCTGAACACATTTTCAGGGACGGGGCACAATGGCACCCACATTTTGACCCCTGGAGATCCCGGGCCGGTCCTACATGGGACGCGGAGGTTCAGGTGGCTATCACAGGACATGTAGTAGTTACCATCACTTCTGCAAGCTCCCCCTAAGGAAAGAGGTAGTGTGCTTGCGCTTTAGAAGTGGAACCTATTCGTTGAGTGAGTCTTCTCTCCGTGAGGAAATCCTGAAAGCTTTCGATCATTTCAATGCTCTCTTTCCTGCAAGTTGGGTGGAGTAGGTTGTTCCTCCACCCTCAAAGTGATGTTACCGCTGTCTTGGCGCACATCGTGATGAAGACGCATGGAAAGCACTTCCTGATCGTTAGGTCCTGAGGGAGCTAAGGAAAATGTGACCTTGCGGGGCACAATCCTCCTCTTTATCCTCCTGGGCCTGGAGTTCACGCCGGCTACTCTCACGAGCAAACCCCCTGGCCTGGATGGTGCCCAAGGTTCCTCCCTCTCCCATAATAGGATCAGCTGGTGAGCCTGCAAGTGCTACCCAGGACGAGGCAGACCCAGCCCGGGTTTGTCTGTCCGTACGCTTCATAGCGGTTTGACGTGGACCGAACGCAAGCTTTAGACCTCGGACCAGCTGTTATCTGTTAGATTCAAAGGGAAGGCTGTTTCCAAGCAAAGTAGGCACCCTGATGGTGGCTGCCTTCAATTCGGTGACTTCAGTTGCTCATATCCTCTTAGGTGTTATAGAGCTCCTCTATAATGAGTGTGTGCTCCGCCTGGGCAATGACAGAGTGCTTTGCTGACAGATTCTAGAGTTGACGGCTGGGCGACACCTAGTTTGAACCACTGCTTCCGTGGGCTCCCTTCTCCTGAAGCCAGTTTCACCATGAGCCCGGTTCAAGTGTCGGCTTGCTGTGCCATTCCCCTCCTATGGACTGGATATGTGCGCCTTCTACTCCATATGATTTCCCTTAAACCGAACCCTGTTGAGTTCCTTCACACCCCTCCGACATCCGACGTGCGGAACGTCTGGTGTTAGGCCTACCACTCGTAAGCAAACTGGAACTTGTGTTTGGCTGGGTCCATATGTTGCGATCCCTACGGTGATCCCATATGTGTTCTCTTCCTTGATACGGCTCCCTTCAGTGTCTTCCCTCGGCAGAGTCTCTCTGCCGTCACTGTCCGTTGAGTCTCCCCCATCATAGGCTGGAGCCACCCCAGTGACATTCCATATGTCGTACTGCCCGGTATTCCGCCCAGTTCATATGTGTATTCTCCACATTACCTCCCTCCGGGTTGGATGTGGCTTCCGCAACGTATGGAGAACGCTTTCCCAGTGGTCCTGTAGGAACAGCAGTGACTTCACTGGCCTAAGCCCTGTCCTTCCCCTCCTTAAAATTGCGGGGGCATCAGGGGGCTTAGGCACTGGAAGGTGGCAGCTTTAGTGGTGTTTAGGGATGTTAACCGATGACCGTTTGACCGATGGTTGACCGTATCAACGTTAACCGATCAAAGTTGTCGGTAGTCGGTTAAAAAGAAAAAAAACATTTGGCGCGAGGTCATAGCGTTTGGGTTCACACACTCACACAAGATTTGAGAAAAGTAAAGGCTTCAGTCTAAAACACTCGAGGTTAGAGCCAGGGCAGAGAAGAAAAATAAAATAGTACAAAGAAACAGAACAAAGAAAATACAGTAGTGTGTGGGACCATTTCACCTAAAAGAATGACACAGATGTAAGTTGCTGAGCTTTATTTGGAAATACATTACATTTTATTTATCCTTTATTTTACCAGGATAGTCCCATTGAGATAAAAATCTCTTCTTCCAGGGAGTCCTGGCCAAAATAGCAGCACAAAAAAGTTTCACATATATTACAATACAGACATAAAACTCAATCTTACATACAATTTTACCCAGCGCTCATAAAATAGACAAAAGTTACTTTACAAAACAAGCACACGTTTCCTTTAACTTTGTCAATAAAAGATTTTTAAAAACGTTTAAAGGGGGAAGAGTAATTTTTATCATTATTATACTCTGCAGCTCATTCCATAACCAAGGGGCATAGAAAGAAAAAGCAGTTTTACCAAGATCTGAACGCACTCTAGGAACCTTTAAAAGCAGTTTTTCCACTAGATCTAGTGCTATAATTATAAATGCAGTAGTAAGATAATAAACGACATATATAAATTGGTAATTTGCCTAGCAAAGCCTTAGCAATAAACATCAACATGTGTATTTTTCTCCTCTGAAACAAAGAAGTCCAACCCACCAATTCATACAAGGTACAATGATGACTGCATGGAGAGGCATTGGTCACAAAGCATAAGGCAGCATGGTATACACAGTCTAGTTTTTTTTTAACGATGATGAACCTGCATGTATATAAATCACATCACCGCAATCCAATACTGAGAGGAAACAGCTTTGAATAATTCTTTCTTGCTTCAAAAGGAAAACATTTCTTTAAACGAAAGAGGAAACCCAGTTTTGGTCTAAGCTTTTTCAAGAGATTTTTAATATGTGCATTGAAACCTAGTTTTTCATCTAACCATATGCCTAAGTATTTGTAACATTTTACTCTTTCTATGCAGTCCCCCTCCAAACTTAAGATCGGACATTTACATTTCAGTGGTAACAAATAAGGTGATGATCAATGATCATCATCATCATCTTTCTTTATTATTGTTACCACTAACGTTAACATTACCTCAAACTAAAGCGTTAACATTACCTCAAACTAAAGCGACTCTTCGGAGCTGTCATTTTTCTTAAATGAGCCATGGCAATGTTTGAGCTTCTAACGCTAGACTAACGCCTTTATTTTCAACGTGATCACATTGTACCCAAACCATTTCGAAACTAAAAAGGAGCCTCCGATTACATACAAGCTCTTTGGCGCCAGATTTGCGGGAAGCGGGGGGTCACACACCGGAGTGACAGGACGAGAAGCGCTGCGCCGCGCCACGTAGGACAACTCCAGTATCGCACACCGGATGCGGCACGCACTTTCTCATCAGTGTATGGCCAGCAATGTTGTTATGTTTAATGACATGAAATGAAGATAATGTCTGTTCTATGTTATGATTGTACTGTACAATTAAATACAATCGTTGCTGAGTCTGCAGTCTGAAAACTTTACCTCAGAGTATCCGTTAACTGAATGAATTGAGAATCTCACCTGAAAAATCCAATAACATCAGCAATTGTCATTCAAGCAGCTGATTTCTGTAAATGAATGCAAAACTACATGTATATTGCAGCATAGGTCGGAGTCAGGATACATTAGCAACGATGCGAGACGAAAATAATTTAAATTTTATATAAAACTATGTAAATGGCGCTCTGTGGCGCAGCAGGATTTTGAACACAGTCCTGAGCCGTTGCTGGGCGCCGCGGAAAGACGGCGGTGGCGGATGGCACTGCCGGTGTGTGTACACTCATAGAGAATAATGTGTTTGAATTTTAAAGACGTGGCTCTCTTCGACGCGGCGCTGAGCTTCTGGACTTGTGTTTCGCGCTCTATTGGGATTTTAAAAAAGTGACATGAGTGGAAGGACGGCGCCGAGGCTCTATGTGTGTGTGTGTACGCGCATATTTTTAAACCAATCGGTTAACCGGTTTCAACCGGCTAATGAGGCTCGGTGGTCGGTCAAGAAAATTTTTAGTTTTCGCCATCCCTAGTGGCGTTTTCAAAGGTTATCCCCATTTAGTCAACCGTCGACTACGTCCGATGTTAACGACTGAAAGGGAAAGTCCTTTTTGCGTATGCACCCACCATTCCCTGAAGGAGGGACGTAGTTCCCTTGCCACTACCACTGGACCACCACTGACTCCAGGTTACGCTCGGCTCCTCAGTGAAAAAGCAACTAGTGTGTGCATCCACTTCTGTATTTACACCCGCGCCGCGGGAGCAGAGTGTGTGATGTGAATCATGTACGCCAATTCCTTTTGGCTTGTTCAATAGTACTCGAGGAATATTGGCTCTCTGACACGATCCTCATTCAGTCGACCGCCGATTACGTCCTCCGTTCCCTCCTTCAGGGAACGGTGAGCTGCATACGCAACCAGGACGTTTCTGTGCACAGTGTGCAAATCCGACTAATCCATAATCAAATTCATCATCAATTATTTTCATTATCTATTATGATCAATTAGTTATTGCAGCCCTACTTAAAAAATGAAACCACAGTAAGGAAAAATGATTTCTTCTTTGTTTTTTCTGGATATGTAATTTCTCATGTCATTCTTAAATCTGTGCACTTTTGTTGTCAACAGTGTGTATAGAGATGATCATACTGGAGATCAGGATTCTCTTCAGCCAGTGAATGAGGAACTAAAGAGAGTCAAACACAGACACAAAACCAGCATGAAGATCAAGTATGAGAGAATATTTGAGGGACTGAAACACCAAGATAATGAAACCCTCCTGAACAGGATCTACACACAGCTCTACATCATAAAGGGAGAGAGAGGAGTGAATAAAAAACATGAGGTTTTACAGATGGAGAAATCAGCCCGAACACAACACTCACAAGACACTCTGATCCACTGCAATGACATCTTTAAAGCCTCTCCTGAACCAGGACGCCAGGAGAAACAGCAGATCAAGACTGTTATTACTAAAGGCATCGCTGGAATCGGGAAAACTGTCTCTGTGCAGAAGTTCATTCTGGACTGGGCCGAGGGAAAAGACCATCAGGATGTAGATTTCATGTTTGTGCTTCCATTTCGAGAGCTGAACTTGATCCGAGATCATCAGTACAGTCTTCACACACTTCTGCTGGACTTTCATCCTGAACTTCAAGATCTGGACTCAAAGATGTATGAGGAGTGTAGAGTTGTGTTCATCTTTGATGGTGTGGATGAAAGCAGAATCACACTGATGTTTTCAGACGCTCAGAAAGTTTCTGATGTGACTGAGACTTCATCAGTGGGTGTGTTGATGTCAAACCTCATTAAAGGAGATCTACTTCCCTCGGCTCTCATCTGGATCACCTCCAGACCAGCAGCAGCCAATCAGATCCCCTCCAAATACATCCACCGTCTGACAGAGATTCAGGGATTCAATGATCCTCAGAAGGAGGAATATTTCAGGAAGAGAATCAGTGATGAGCATCAAGCCAGCAGAATCATCTCTCACATCAGAAGAGCAAGAAGCCTCCACATCATGTGCCACATACCCGTCTTCTGCTGGATCTCCTCCACTGTGCTTCAGAAGCTCCTGGAAGAAGATCTGAGTGCAGAAATCCCTCAAACTCTGACTGAAATGTACATCCACTTCCTGCTGATTCAGATCCACATGAGGAATCAGAAGTATGAAAAGAGAGATCCAGAGAAACTCCTGCAGTCCAACAGAGAAGTGATCGTGAAACTTGCTGAAGTGGCTTTCCATCAGCTGATGAAGGGCAATGTGATGTTCTATGAGGAGGACCTGATTGAGAGCGGCATAGACGTCACTGACGCCTCAGTGCATTCTGGGATTTGCACTGAGATCTTTAAGGAGGAATCTGTGATTCATCAGAGGAAAGTCTACAGCTTCATTCATCTGAGCGTCCAGGAGTTTCTCGCTGCTTTCTTTGTGTTTTACAGCTATTTAATCAAGAACAAGAAACCACTGCTTGAATTAAGAGTTTGCAGGTTCAATAAAGAAAATGGATCTGATGAAGTCTCTCTGTATGATCTACTAAGATCAGCAGTGAATGAAGCCCTCTGGAGTGATAATGGACGTCTGGATCTGTTCCTGCGGTTCCTGATGGGCGTTTCACTGGAGTCCAATCAGAGACTCTTACAGGATCTACTGACACACACAGAGAACAGCTCGGAGGTCATCAGGAAAACCACAGAGTTCATTAAACATTTGATCAAAGATGAAGATGAGAATTATGATCTCTCAGCGGATCAGTCCATCAATCTGTTCCTCTGTCTGCTGGAAGTGAAAGATCAGACTCTGTCCAGAGAGATTCAGAAGTCAGAGGAGAAACTCTCTCCTGCTCACTGCTCAACAATCTCCTACATGCTTCAGATCTCAGAGGAGCCGCTGGATGAGCTCAACACCATGAAATACAACACATCAGCTGAGGGCAGAAGAAGACTGATACCAGCTGTGGTCAACTGCAGAAAAGCCCTGTGAGTGTTTCATCATTAATAGCTAAGAATCCTTTGATAACACATCTTACATCTTTACAGGGGTCATGACATGGAGTTTATATTGTTGTAATATATCCCTGGAGGTTCACTTACACTAGTGCTGCCAAACTCAGTTCCCTAGAGCACAGGTGTCCAAACCCTGGGTCGCCAGGAGAATTCAAGGAAAATGTTACATTTAAAATAAAATTTCAATAATTTTCATAAAATCATAGTCTATAGGTCTGTATAAAAGGAATAAATATGCTAAATATATTTGATGAAAATAATTAAGAATAATTATACAACCACTGAAGAACATATTCGTTTTTTTAAGAAAAAAAAAAAACAAAAAAAACCCATACAAGTTTGGATTATAACCCAGAACCTCTGACCCGCTTGGCAAAAGTTCTGCCACTGGACCAGTACACCAGTAAATGATGCGGATCTACACTATAACAATATGGCTTATTTCGGTAGATCTCATTTAATGACAAATGTAGCCAAAATGACCCAATGTACTATTGAAATTGATTTTTGGACATCGTAATGTTGTGTTTTTCCCGAAAATTGTTATTGTACACATGTATTGAATCTGAGTTATCACTGTGTTGATGACATCAGTGCGGGCTAGCCGTTGAAATCTAATTGGCTGATAACACCCGTCAGTCAAAGTTATGATCAAATGGAAAATAGCTGCTTCGAAGGTTAGCTATGCTACTAGTGCTGATGCTCGGAGCTGCGTGTAAATGACATATGGAAAATCCAGCCCAGCCTCACAAAAATAACCGTTATGTACTGAAATAAAGGAACTGAATATAGATTAATTCAGACACACATTCTGTAGGAAAGACCACCCTTTGCAAATGGACCACCCTCCCACCAAATGGACTCTTCGTGATTTGGATAGTGCAGAAAACTTTCCGAGAAGTTGATAAACAAGATCGTATGAAGAGAGAATGTGTTTATTGTAAACAACAGTTAAGTTCGACAGAAGATTTGAAGATTATGTGTGTGCGTGCAACTTGCACATTTATTGCATAATATGTTCGTAAGGAAGATTGAGGATCGCTGTCGCGATCCTCACGTGTTGTTTATCTGTACAGTGTTGATATATCCGCATGTCGTTTGTTCTTCGATTGGGTCTCGGGGAACATCTCGGTCCTGGAGGGCCACTGTCCCTGCAGAGTTTAGCTCCAACCCTGATCAAACACGCCTACCTGTGAGTTTCTACTGATCCTGAAGACCTTGATTAGCTTGCTCAGGTGTGTTTGATCAGGGTTGGAGCTAAACTCTGCAGGGACAGTGGCCCTCCAGGACCGAGATTGGTGAACCCAGATGTACGGGCTCGTTTATAAGGCGAGTTGGATGCATTCGCTGTTAGCACTACGTGAATTTGGCATACAATGGGAAATAATATTTTACATAGTTATAAATCTACATGTATATTATTATATTGCTTTATTTCTCTAATGCCCTTTAACCTTGCTGATTATATTTATCCCAGTATTGTAGTAGCCTACTATTTATAGTTTCTTACACATTCTTTTAATTCAAATGTTTTTTTTAGTTTTTTTTTTTTTTAGAGGGCCAGCAGTGTAAGCCCTGATGGCCCTGACAGCCCACTAGAGGTAGTCTGTATGACCAAATTTCTGTTTCACGGTATGACTAATTTTATTTCACGGTAACAATATATTTCACAATATAATTATTAGGGGTGTAACGGTTCATGTATTCGTATTGAACCGTTTCGGTTCGAGGCTTCCGGTTCGGTACGCATGCAAACCGAAGGATTGCTTGGACTATTTTTCCTGCCGTCAAAATTCGTGCTGACGCGGCCAACACAACGTTGCACAACATCAAATGGCAAGCGTAATGAAAGCAGAACGAAACTGCGCTACTCATTATGTGCTTCTCATGGATCGTTTATCAGTTCGGACCAGCAACATCTGTGCAGCGCGAGCCGATCTCGATCAAGCAACACTGTTACCACACATCGCTAAGAGATCCGGTAAAGAAAACATTTGAATTCGCCACTGAGGTAATAACATCGCTGCGAGATCTAGTGAGATGCATTCACATTTCTCTATTATTAACCGTAGATCTCTATTAGATCAAACAGCGCTGTCATGGAAACCAGGAGAAACATTGTGCCGTGAATGAACTAGTAATACTTTCGTCCACAGACCAGCAACATTCACCATGGATTTAATATAGTAACACTAACTGGAACCAGTTTGGCTGGAATGGTGAAATGCTTTCAAGTACTTCACACATCTTTTTCCAGCACTTCAAAATTCAAACATTATCTAAATAAATTTGAAGGATGAACAAATAATATTTTGGTCATCACATTAAAAATAACATTTAAATATATATCATCCTTCAAAGATGACCCCCATTTATAAACCTGAAAGTTTCAAGATCTAGGAAAACTCACACTTATTTAAAAATATATTTTCTTTAAACAAATAGGAAATTTCTCTGACATTTCTTTCTTTTTGCTGTATCGAAAACGTACCGAACCGTGACTTTAAAACCGAGGTATGTACCGAACCGTGATTTTTGTGTACCGTTACACCCCTAATAATTATTTATATGTAGTTATTCTTAAAACGACAAAAAAGGCTTTGTATAATAAACCCAAATACTTCCAACTATTTCCGCTTATCCAGGGCCGAGTCGTGGGGGCAGTCTAAGCAGAGATGCCCAGACTTCCCTCTCCCTAGTAGGGGTGGATGCTATAGTGATATAAATTTGACTACCGGTATTATGTTGTATCATGATATGGATTTTGCGATACCGAGAATAAAAACAGCTTCTTCAAGATGCTTGTCAAGTCTTTTAAGCTGCACTGGTCCCCCACTTGAAAGGGGATCCTTATTTCTGATTTGAACACTGGATTCCACTCACAAGAATGAGAAATGTAATTTTCCTTCTCTCAATCTATTGCAGAATTTCAGTAGGTGAAAAACCTTTAAAACCACACAACAAACCAAGTGTAAATATACCTCAAGTAAACAGCAATGCACATAAATTTAATCACCAAAATCACACACTGTTTATAGTAGTTTAATTTGGTAAGTATTAGCACAATACTATTTCTTTTAACACCATAGCAAATAAGTTTGAAAAGAATAAGCTTTTATCACCAGATTTGTATTTTCAGTAAAAGAAAATGTAACTATGTCTACCATTATAAATATTTTAACAAATTAATTAACACATTTTAAGACAATTGTAGGTGAATTTTAGAAGAGAATTTATTTGAGCAAATTGACTATATGAAATTCTTAATAATAGACTTTTTTAAAATGACTGTTACCACTACTGCTCGTTTAAACTTAGGCATTTAAACACTAACTTAATCACAAATAACAATAACAATTATAAACAACTCAGTAAACTAAGTCCATCACATACATGCACATTAACATGAAGCCACCACACGCATGTCTTAGTACATAGATTGCACAACACATAGACGAATTTCCTCTTACCGGCAGTCTCTTCACATGATCCCTTGCAGTGATCCCATGCATTTTAAATCAAAGTCTTTGACCCAACGTTTCCACTGCATCCACACTGCTCACTGTACACAATGAAATGAGCAGACAAGCACTTTTTCAAGCCCAAGGCGCGTGCCATGCTGACTAAAACCAGCTTCACCTAACATTCATATCCGTGTGACATGAGGCGTGACAGCGGACGGTTTGCCGCAACAATGCTCAGTTTAAAAATATCTTGTTGTGAAATGTGCATATAATTCTTGATAACAGGGAAATCCCAGGAAATATTGTAACAATTAGCATTTTGATCTGGCACCATATAATTGACCGTTCGCAAAGACCTGCCCCCTTTAGTTTCTGTTGCTAATGTTGTGGGAACGTTACCAGGTGACGTTCCTGACACCAACGGGATGTTCTCAGAATGTTTTGGAAACATTGGATTTCTGAATTAAATATTGTCCTCTAAACGTTCCCAGAACATCCTGAATGTTCGCTGAAGGTCCTCCAAATAACGTCCCCAAACCCTTTAAAGAACTCCACATCGTGACTGTCTGGGAACGTTGTGGGAACGTTACCAAGCAACGTCCTTGACACCAGCGGGGACGTTCTCAGAATGTTCTGGGAACGTAAAATTTCCAGCTGGGTATAGACTTTAAAAAAAGATGGACGATGCCCCTTCACTCTCTTTCATAGGAGAAAAGTGAAGCCGCCAAAGTCCAAATATGGCTCTAACATATTGCGCTGATTTGGGACCTGCTTCTGCGCAATAGTAACGAAGGACACGAGTCTGTACCTTAGTGAGCCGGAAGTACTTGATAACCCACAATATCAAGTGCTTAACCTCACTCTCGCAGAAACAGTTAGTACAAAGTATAGTATGTGAAATAAACAGTTATGGACATTAGGGATGTCGAAATTAATCTTTTCTACGATGTATCACGATGCAGACAAGGGCGATTTGGTATCAGTTCAGTAATAGACCATAACCGATTCTAATGTTCTGATGCTTTTCTGACGTAATTTATTGCATATGTGCTTTGTCGCGGTAGCATACAATGACAGAGGGAGGCGAGACGCAAGTAATTAAAAATGCTCCATCTACTTTAAAAGCCTACATCTGGGCACATTTGGCTTGTATGAATAAGCATGACCTGGAGAAGAAGACACATGCTGTGTGCGCTCATGTCACTCTCAAATAGAATATGCAGGAGGTAATACCACTAACTTGATAAACCACGTTAGCCATTTTCACCCAGAGCTGTTAACGTCACCCGAATCCGCTGATTTAAGTATCTGCACCCGATGGAAAAAATTACAATTATTCTGTTGTTACGCGTGATTATAAATGGATGATCGTCACCTTCAACAGTAGACTTGGCGACGGTTGATGCACGCATCTCCAGGGTACACTGATGACTGACAGAATTTCATTTTCTTAATAGCATAATCTCCCTTGAAACTTAAACTGGAATGTCACTGTTTCAGTCACTGCGACTTCCTGAACAGGCAAACACTCACACGCGCGGATGCGCACCCTCATCACTTTTGAAGTAAAATTGAATATTAAGGATGCTGTGCATTGTGATGCATCGCAATATCAAATCGAACTGAATTGATGACATGATAATCGTAATCGAACTGACGTCACATTCATGTTTTTAGCTTCAAATAACAAACTAAGATCACAAACTAAATTATAAAAAAAACACTTAAATTTAAATCAGTGTTATAAAAAAACACCTAAAATGACAGAAAACATATTTGAAATAAATTTATTTGAAGTGTAATTTGATTGTTTAGTTTCCATCGTGTCCATAAGACTTCTTGGGCAGGGGGGCTTTATGAGCTATACTGGGACCAACCACCGGAAGGTGATCGAGACACTTTGGCTTTACTTTTCAGCACTTGTGTGCTTGGTGTGGGTTGCTGTAGGAGCTAAAATAGGATTACTTTATGTATGTTATAATTCAGTATCTCTTATAATGTTATTGTGAGTTGAGCTTGTTGGATTTGAAGTTGAAGTTGGAGACTCAAGGCCTCTGGGGATAATGCACCTCTAACTTCACCTGGGGGTGTGGCCAGAGCCAAAAGTGACAGGCTTTGACCTCACGGCCCGACTTCATGTGAAACAGATTCAATCTAAATTATTTCTTGACAATCATTTGTTTACTTGACATTTATATATTTATTTTTTTGTGATTTTGTATACATTTACTTTTTTGTAATTAATGCTACTTCAGTTTGAAATAACTATGCTATGGACAAGAGAACCCTATGGTCAGTGAGTGTCAAGCTGTTCATCCACCAATCTGAACTACTTCCCCACAACGACCACTTATTTCAATATATTTGACTTTATTTTATCTTTGTATTGTCAATTATTTATTCATCTATTTTTCTGGTTTTTAATGGGCTCCTGCCCCTTTAAAGAAAAGCACCCTGAACCCCAACTTATTGTGGAATATTTACTCTCTTCCAGTCTTGTTGGCTGTAATCTCACTGGTCAGGATTGTGAAATTGTGTCATCAACTCTACAAAACTCTGTCCTGAGAGAGCTGGATCTGAGTAACAATGACCTGAAGGATTCAGGAGTAAAGATTATTTCTGATGGACTGAAAAGCCCAAACTGTCAGCTGCAGTTATTGCGGTATTTAAGAACATATGAGAGATTATTTACAGTCTGCCGGTCATGATGTCAGAGTGTGTTTTTAGGGATGATCTGACTGTGTGTCTGTAGGTTGTCTGGCTGTATGGTGACAGAGGAAGGCTGTGGTTATGTGTCTTCAGCTCTGAGTTCAAACCCCTCACACCTGAGAGAGCTGGATCTGAGTAACAATGAACTGCGGGATTCAGGAGTGAAGATCCTTTCTGAAGGACTGAAGAGGCCAAACTGTCAGCTGCAGATACTGAGGTATTTAAGAACATATGATAGATTATTTACAGTCTGCCGGTCATGATGTCAAAGTGTGTTTTTGTAGATGGTCTGACTGTGTGTGTCTGTAGGTTGTCTGGCTGTATGGTGACAGAAGAAGGCTGTGGTTATGTATCTTCAGCTCTGAGTTCAAACCCATCATGCCTGAGAGAGCTGGATCTGAGTAACATTGACCTGAAGGATTCAGGAGTGAAGATTATTTCTGATGGACTGAGAAGCCCAAACTGTCAGCTGCAGATACTGAGGTATTTAAGAACATATGAGAGATGATGTATAGTCTGCCGGTCATAATGTTGATGTGTGTTTGTAGATGGTCTGACTGTGTGTGCCTGTAGGTTGTCTGGCTGTATGGTGACAGATGAAGGCTGTGGTTATGTGTCTTCAGCTCTGAGTTCAAACCCATCACACCTGAGAGAGCTGGATCTGAGCTACAATCACCCAGGAGATTCAGGAGTTAAGCTGCTCTCTGACAATCTGAAGGATCCAAACTGCTCACTTCAGATACTCAAGTATGTGGGACAATAAGAGGCCCAGTTTACACCTGGTATTAAGTGCTTTGTTCTAATCACGTTATTGAATAAACCTGTAAGCCTCAAAAAGACTGTTTAAATATGAATTGCGTGTCTGTGCATGAATGAATGAATGAGCGGCACAGACGCACGCGTGTGATACTACAACATCTGTGCCATTCATTCACTCTCGTTTCTACATTATTTTACAGTTCTAATCGCTATATAGAATATTGTCTGAAAACTTAAAAGACTGTTTAAATGGATCGGGTGGCTGTGTGTATGTGAATGAACTAACGCAGAGATGCGCACTGTTACAGACGAAATAAAAGACAATATTTCGTTGACTAATTTTGGATAGATTATAAAGTTTTTACTCTAAAATAGACATCAAATAAGCATTTGTTAAATGTTAAATGCTTATGTTAAATACAGTACATAGTGTTTTGTCAAAAATAAACTCATCAACTGTTATATTGTTTGTTCCAATGCAAGCTGTATCAACATAATGAATCCTTAACTTTGAAATATGTTTGATAAAATGTATTGGCCTACTTTAAAAAATAATACATTATAAGACATTTATGGTTTCCAAGATGTTTCCAACTCTAACTTTGAACCAATTCTATAGAATGGCCCATATGACCCATTTGAACAGGATTTGTTTCCAGGTATGACTAAAAATGTGCTTTTGACTTTCATTTATATTTTGATTATTTATATATATATATATATATATATATATATATATATATACACATATATATGTGTGTGTGTGTGTGTGTGTGTGTGTGTATATATATATATATATATATATATATACATATACATTCCTCAGATACAAGTAATGTAATTTTAATAACTAATCATGAAACATGATGGGGGAATCACCTACAAATTATAAAATTACCCGTAAGGGAAAAAGTTGCCAATGTTCGGTTTGGACAGCCGAACACAACAAATTATGATCAGTTCTCCATCCAGGTCGACAAAAATAGATAAATTGTACTATCAATAATCAATCATAGGAGTTATAAAAGACGAATATGTCAATTGTCTAAAATAGATCGAATGTCAGGATAATCTTTAAAGGGACTAATTTATGATCGAATCATCTGCTTGTCCAACCAGTGTTGGGAAAGTTCACTTTCTACATGAATATTTCAAAGTTCAGTTCACACATTTTAAAATGAACTAGTTCAGTTCAAAGTTTGCATAGAAATGTAAGATTTTTCCCATCCTCACCAACCTCGTTATAAAATCCGTTTAAATGATCATACAATGCCTTTGTCGACGGCAGCCCCGGTGCGACACTGGTGGCTTGTGTTGCCAGATTGGGTGTTTTTTTGCTACATATTAAGCCCTGTTTACGGTGAGTTTTAGCCGGGTTTTCGCCTGGAAGGCTCTATAGAAATCTGGCACCCTATTGAACGAAGTTAAACTAAGAGATTGTGCGTTCACAGACTCCAGAGTGAACAAGTTCACAGTAGCGTTCATCAGGACAAGCAGTAAAACAATACGTTCAGTTCACCCAAAATATGAACGAGTTCATGAACGTGAACATGTTCAGGCACAACGTTTGGCAGCATGGGTCTCGAGGATTTTTTTTTTGAGCAAGCATTGATTATGCGTGACACGGTCTTAATTTGCGGGACGCATGATTAGGGCTTCAAACGCTGTGTGCGCACGCGCTACGCGGGACGGGTGGTCACCCTACCCAGGAGCCTCTGAAATTTTCAGTGGGACCCTTTCTCACTTCTAGCACTAGCCTAACACAATCCTCTTGAAGAGACATGTTGGACCGAGTCCTCCTGAACTGAAAAAGAGATACTCAGCCTGTGGGAGAGATTACTCTCTCCCAGTTGACCTGAAGACCCAACAGGTTATAGAGCACTGGCAGGGTAGGACCTTGTACTGCTACTTCGTACCCTCGACGCCAGAACACAGAATGGTCTGTGGAGTGGAAGGATAGAGATCTGAAATACTGTCCTTCAGGTCGAATGCTGCAGTCCAACCATGGGGACGGAGTATTTGAAAATGCATTTATGTGTAGTAATTGAACGGAGGCTTTCGAAAAAGATGGGCATAACCCACCACATATCTAGGGTACATTGAAGTACGAGTTTATAGAAACCAGTGTTCATATCGGCTGGAGGAGAGGCTACATCGCGTCTTTCGCCAGCAAAACTGTGACGTGCCCACACAGGACAGGAGCAGCGCTCAACACATAGGTGTGATAAATATCAATAATCTTTGGAGCATCTCAGCTCAACACTTTGGTATGATGAATATCACTGAGCCAGGGCGAAGCCAAGCAAAATGAATCGCAAGCCGAGTCTGCTGGTAGCTTTGGGGCCAGTTTGAGCGGTAGGAAGCATCTTCAGGCTTACACACACCGTGCCAGGGGCCAGGGAACCACAGACGTACCTGAGGTGGGGCAGCGAGGTGGAGGACAGGGACCCAGCTTGGAAGGCCCGGAGGCGGCCCGAAGCAGGGTCTGGGTGTGGTGCACGATACTTACCTGTGTCCACGAGATGCCTGGGATGCGTGAGAAGGCGGATGACCTCGAACTGCACCCAGCTGAAATGCTGGCGAACAAGAGGGGGCTGTGGGGTGCAAGGCTTACAGGGTTGAAAGCTCTCTTGGGACCCAGGAACAGAGGAATTTGCTCTTTATTTGGAGTGTGGGTACCGCTTGCTCCATCCCTAATTGTCCTGCTCCAGAATGCTTTCGCTGTGGCTTGTCACCTGGCTTGGCAGCGCCTGGAGCGGGCCGCCAGGGCAGGATGTGTCGGATGGCCTCCGTCTGTGCTTGGGCAGCAGAGAACTGTTGGACATAGTTCTCCGTCGCGTCGCCGACCAGCCAAACATGGGAAACTGGGGAGACCAGGAACCGAACCTTGTCCGCATTTCACCATATCAACCAGGCTGAGCCTAACGATGGCACTCCTGGACCACTAAGATAGACACCGCCAGACCGATCACGCAAGCCACAACACTCATGCCCGGAGGGCGAGGTCAGATGCAATGTTCACCTATAAGCGCACGGTCTGGGCTACCCTTGTGCATGTCCATGGATGCCCTGGCCTGACAGACCTGTAGCAGCGCCATGGCACGCAAGAGAGGCAGCTTGTCCACAGGCTTTGTAAGCTCTGCCCGTCGGAATGGACGAGCACTCACAGGGGGAGTTGGGGGGAGACGAGGATCCCCCCGAAAGGCAGCGGCCACCGGACACAGGTGCACCTGTGTCACGACAGACCGCTCCACTGGAGGGATAACCTTGAAACCCTTCACCGCTCCTCCATCAAGGGTAGTGAGGGGGAAAGCTATTTAGGCAGTTTCTGGCAGAGAAAGGTGCCATCCACAACCTGGTAAGCTGTCCATGCAATTCCAGAAAAAAGGCACTGGGATGCATCGTCATCTCCAGAGGCCAGCTCACCCTATGCTGCTATCGACATCTTATCCTCTGGGGAACCCCAATTGAAACGGTTGATCGGTCCATTACAGAGGGACCAGCATGTTCAACAGGAATTCCATCGGCTGCAGTGTGATTGAGTGAGGAGCCCACAGGGAATGGTTACCGGGCAAGACCTCCATCATTATCCTCCGTTCACCCATCTCACACGGCACCTGGGGGTGGGGCATGGTAATGGGGACTGGCGCTTCGCGGACGAAGGCAAGTCTCGATTTCAACACCGTGACAGTCATATTCCTGCAATGGAAACATGTACCGCCCACAAAAGCTGCTTCAGTGTGCTGTAAGCCCAAACACGTGATGCAACAACTGTGACCGTCAGAAAGATCACATCCAGAAACGCACAGGTGGAATGACATCTTTTTTATTTATTATTATTATTTTTTTTTAAAAGATGCAAACACACCCGTGTTGCTCTTTCAGGAAACAGGACCCATCAACAGTGCCGGGGCAAACAGGGGAATGACCGCGGCAACACTGAACAGTGATTTGAAACAGTGAAGCACTCACTTTTCTGCCCTCTAACCAGCCGTCAACACACACAAACCTTTAGAATTTGTTGCTGTTAAAAAAGTAGTTGAGAGCTCAAAGCTCACGATCAAAGCACTCGCGTTGTAGAACACAGCACTGGGAGAGTCTTCCAGAAAAACACTGACACACTCGCTCGTTGTAAACAACAGCACTCTTCAGAGACATCAAACGATCGGCTCCGAAGTGAAAGGCAACTAGTGCATGCATCCACTTCCGTATTTATACCCGTGCCGCGGGGGCGGAGTGCGTGATGCATTTCACACATGCCAATTGCCAGTCCGCTATTTTGCTCAGGGCAAGACTGCGCTGTGAACAAATGCAAGTAAACGGGTGAGCTGCGATTTCCCTGGATAAAAACAATAATAACGTTTACATTTATCAACCAATTTCAGTGGTTTGTGAATGAAAGAAATCTTTATTGCCCCAAGTGGTAATTTGTTTTACACTCATGGAAACCACAATAAACATAACCACAACAAACATAGAATAAACATAAAATAAAAAGCAAAAAGTGACATAGAATTATCAATCCGACAACTTAAGGAATCAGTAGATAAATATATATTCAATAATACCCCTCTAAAATGTTCAACAGCTTAAAGGAATCAATAAATAGATATATATTCTATAATGCACTTTAAAAATAAATCTATGTGCCCATAGATGATTCATTTAGTAATTGAATGCTCCTCGGCACAAATGATGTAATATGTCATTTAGTTTTTGTTCGGGGCATTCTAAATCTACATCCAGAGGGGAGGAGGGAAAATTCCATGCGAAGTGGGTGCAATGGATCCTCCAGTATCCTCAGTGCCAAATTGAGGGTATACTGGTCAGTAAGATTTGTGATACTTTTCACGTCTAATCTAGTAATTTTCCTACCCATTTTTGTCACCTTGTCCAGCATGTTCCTGTTTCGGATAGAAAGACCCCCCTCCCCACACACACTCACTGGATGGCAAAAGTCACCACACTCTGAATAAAAGTCAAATAAA